TGGAAAAAGCACTTTTCAAATGGATCAAATCGATCAAACGGAAAACATTTCTTTCCATTTGACCATTTGACAATTACACAATTACCTGTTGAATGATCAAATGGAGTCGTGCAGTGCTCGAGTCATGCTGTGCATAACGCAAATGAAAGCTTGTCAAATTGATCGAATGGATCAAGTTGATCAAATGGACAGCATATTTTCCATTTGACAAACACTAGTCGAATGGTTAAATGGCGATACCGCGTTTCGTTTAAGCCAACGAGCGCCCAACGCAAATGTTGGCTTGTCGCGAATGGATCAAAATTAATGGACACATATATATGATTACAGTACAGCATACTGTATCTATAATCATTCATATATAACCATGCATGCTTCGTTCTTTAAAACCATGCGTAAATTGAAAAACTGGAAATATTATATGTAAATAAACCTTCACATTTTAAAAACATTGCGTGAACTGAACTGAACTACACTAACATATATACTATAATCTTCACAGTAGTGGATCTATGACTATAATAATTCATAATGTATCATGCTTCGTTCTTTAATAGCCTTAGTTATAATCTTCACATCCAGTAGTGGATGTATGACTATAATAATTCATATATCATGCTTCGTTCTTTAAAAGCTTTGCGTAAATTGAATAACTGGAACTATTATGTATAAATAAACCTTCACATTTTAAAAACATTGCGTGAATTGAACCACACTAACATACTATAATCTTAGTCACAGTAGTGGATCTATGACTATAATAATTCATATATCATGCTTCGCTCTTTAAAACCATTGCGTAAATTGAACAACTGGAAATATTATATGTAAATAAACCTTCACATTTTAAAGACATTGCGTGAACTGAACTGAACTGAACTGAACTACACTAACATATACTATAATCTTCACAGTAGTGGATCTATGACTATAATAATTCATAATGTATCATGCTTCGTTCTTTAAAAGCATTGCGTAAATTGAATAACTGGAAATATTATGTATAAATAAACCTTCACATTTTAAAAACATTGCGTGAACTGAACTACACTAACATAACCTTAGTTATAATCTTCACATCCAGTAGTGGATCTACTTGACTATAATAATTCATATATTATGCTTCGTTCTTTAAAAGCTTTGCGTAAATTGAATAACTGGAACTATTATGTATAAATGAACCTTCACATTTTAAAAACATTGCGTGAACTGAACCACACTAACATACTATAATCTTAGTCACAGTAGTGGATCTATGACCATAATAATTCATATATCATGCTTCGTTCTTTAAAACCATTGTGTAAATTGAATAACTGGAAATATTATATGTAAATAAACCTTCACATTTCAAAGACATTGCGTGAACTGAACTGAACTGAACTACACTAACATATACTATAATCTTCACAGTAGTGGATCTATTACTATAATAATTCATAATGTATCATGCTTCGTTCTTTAAAAGCATTGCGTAAATTGAATAACTGCGGGAAATATTATGTATAAATAAACCTTCACATCTTAAAAACATTGCGTGAACTGAACTACACCAACATAGCCTTAGTTATAACCTTCACATGCAGTATAGTGGATCTATGACTATAATAATTCATATATCATGCTTCGTTCTTTAAAGGCATTGTGTAAATTGAATAACTGGAAATATTAGTGTATAAATAAACCTTAACATTTTAAAACATTGCGTCAACTGAACTTAACTACACTAACATACTATAATCTTAGTCACAGTAGTGGATCTATGACTAATAATTCATATATCATGCTTCGTTCTTTAAAACCATTGCGTAAACTGATTGAATGACTGGAAATATTATATGTAAATAAACCTTCACATTTTAAAAGCATTGCGTGAACTGAACTACACTAATTAACATACTATAATCTTCACAGTAGTGGATCTATGACTATAATAATTCATATATCATTATTACAAATCAAAACGTAAACCAATCTTTGCTTGTTTTATTGACTTCAAAAAAGCTTACGATAGTGTATGGAGGGAGGGTCTTTTTTTCAAATTGATCTTGAATGGTTGCAGCAAAAGATTCATACGTTTAATGTTAAGCATGTATTCCTCCTATGACTGTTCGGTAAAATTGGAAGAGGGGTATACAACTTTCTTTAGGTCACATGTAGGGGTCAAACAGGGTTGTAACTTAAGTCCTACTTTATTCAACCTATTCATTAATGATCTACCTGATATATTTGACAGGTCATGCACTCCAGTAAAATTAAATGATACAAATCTAAGCTGTTTGCTTTACGCAGACGACCTAGTCTTATTATCCGAATCCAGGGCAGGGTTACAAAATTGCCTCACAAAACTTGTTTACTATACCAAAAAGTGGAAGTTAAACATTAATCTTAAAAAATCCAAAGTTCTAGTATTTGGAACACCAACCCAAAAACGTAGGCATTCTACATCAATCTGGACATTCGGCAAAAATATTTTGGAACAAGTTGATGAATATTGTTATCGGGGTATTACTCTTCACTTTTCTGGTACTTTCAAGCGAGCACAAAAGATAATCTACGGAAAAGCATTACATGCCTATCATAGTATATTTAAAAGTTTCTCAAATGTCGAAAATGTTCCAATAAAACTAATGTTAAAACTATTTTCTTCGATAGTTACCCCAATCTTATTATACGGTTGCGAAGTGTGGGGTCCGCATTTATTGGGCAGAATAAACTCTTTCGAAATGTTCAAGAAAAAAATTTTCCAAATCAATAGTGCAATTGAAAAACTTCATCTAAAATTCTGCAAAAGAGTCTTAGGAGTTCATTCAAAATCAACAAACATGGCTATTTATGCTGAGCTAGGAAGAACGCCTTTGATCGTTCAAATAGCTAAGCTGGTTGTAAAATATTGGTTTCGAATAAAAAGTTCATTGTTATCAAACACGCTTGTTGGAAAAGCAGCGAATGTATGCATGGAACTTAACCTAAAGTCAACAATTTTTATCAAATATGCACTGCAACTATGTGGGGGAGAAAATTGCGATTCACAAACTGAATTATCCAACTTACAGACGGAATTATCTGAAACAGAAAACGGAAATGTTTGCCATCACGTGAAACATAGATTTAAAGAAGCGTTTATATTGTATTGGGCAGAGCAGTTTCAACCTGTCGAAAATACTGGCAAGCTAAGAACTTTTAGAAAAATAAAAAAACACTTTGAATGTGAAAAATACTTAAACGAAATTAGTAATTTCAAATATCGTCAAGCTGTTACAAAGTTAAGAATATCAGCACATAAGCTAACCGTTGAAACTGGTAGATACAACAATGTCCCATACAATGATAGACTATGCAGACTTTGTGAGTTAAATGAAGTAGGAGATGAACATCACTTTTTAATGTCTTGTACAAACATGAAGTTCATCAACCTCAGGACAAAATTCATTGATAATTTATATAAAATAAATAGGTTTTTCAACTTATTTACTTCGGAAAACCTATTTATATATATTATGGCTATGAAGGATAAGTCAATAATGAAGTTAGTAGGCAAATATTGTTTCGACGTTTTGGCTGCTTTTGATAGCCTGGTCTAATTACTTACGTGTGCGTGTGTATGTATGTGTATTTATACATTTATCAACTTTTTTCATATATATTAATATCTATGTTATTGTTATAGACCGTAACGACTTATTTAGTTATTTACCCATGTATTCTATGTCCCAATATTGGGACTTTGTTTGAATAAATTATTATTATTATTATATCATGCTTCTTCCTTTAAAAGCATTCTGTAAGCTAACTGAATTGAATAACTACAACTGATATATATTATATATAACTTTCATACTTTAAAAACATTTGATTGCGCGAACTTAACTGAACGGAACTACATACACATGCAGCCGCATCTATAATCATTCATATATCATGCTTCATTCTTTAAAAGCATTGCCATTGCGTAAATTACTTAGTATAGCTTATATAACCTTCATACTGCCTCTATCTCGGCCTCTATATATAATCTAGCTATATATCTATAATCTATATTATCAGCAACGACACAGAACAACTATAGTTAATAATATATGATTTTAAAACATTGGCATTGACATTGCGCGAACTGAATAGCGAAGTCTTGCAACTTCTACTGCATGAATACAAACTTGACATGCATAGCCATAGAAGAAATACTCACAAAAAGTGTCAAAGGACACAATATTATATAAAATATTATAATTTAACAATTTAATATTTATTGAAACTATTCAAACTTTAGGCTCTAAAACACCTTCAAAGGTATAGTTTTAATTCCGTTAACGAACGAGATTACAAAGATTATATCGAGTTCAAATTAGTTTCATGCATGCATGCATCAGTTTCAACTAGATCCTTTTACTCTTTCAGATCGATCCATATACAAAAACTTTTTGAAATGTAAATCAAAATAAAACCATCTTCTTTCATGTCTAGCAATGTTCGCTATAATCCAATTTACTTGTTCCCATCGTTTGACTGTTTTATTTTTGTTCCAAAATGTCGAAGACACAATCCAATCTTTTATGATTTTTGGGGGACAGCCATTGCCCATCACATCAGGAACAGCACTAACTTAAATGTTTCTTCATCACCAATCGGTTTCTTCCAAAACGCAATTCTCATATCATTTGGCCACACCGACAGTGGGTAAAACATATCACCATCAACACTTCTGAACAAAGCTCGTCTTCTCTCTGATATTTCTCTTTTTGATGAAGTTAAGACGAAGTTTGTTGCTTCACACATATTGCTGATGTAAAACTAGTACTTGCGAGAATCAGTTAAATTACATAAACACATGCTGTCATGCATGCTATTTGATTACTCTTTAACTGACTTGCTTCAACTTTCATACTCAGTTTATATTTTTATAGAGACCCGTATGGCCCATTGTTTTCTTTGCAATGCAAATAATTACGCGTTTTAAGATATCAGAATATATTTCGGATAATAAAACCTGGCTCAAAATTTTTAATTAATGGCGTTTTGTATAAAATTGCGTTTATTCAATGCTATAATATTTTTAACATTGTTTACAGTTTCCAAACATGTAGACGATCATGAATACAGATAATCGATTATGGAATTTTAGCAGGACGCTAATAAATCATTTACCTGTCAACATTCTAAGCGACTTGATGACACACTATCTGTTTCCTTTGGCTTTGCCCAGGAGCAAAAAACTTTGGAAAACGTGCCTTTACATTTCTACCTCGTTTTTAACGGTTCTCAATTTTATCTTTAAAAAATAATTTCATTTCATTTTATTCCCCCAAGCTGCATTACTAAACAAATCTTAAAAACACAAATGCTGAGAACTGGACGAAGGACGTTTCTTGCGCCATTTGGCATTCATCATTTATGGCAGTCGAGGGCCGCTCGTCGCCTTCCTCTTGCAACGTAACACGGTCTCCACAAACAAACAAATACGCCATGTTCAGCACATTAGTTACAGACGTAAATGGACGTCCCAAAATGTTCATAACAGCCACTAATCGGGACATACAAGGAGCACTCTCAAAGAACGCCATCTTTGTAGCAGGGAAAATATGTGCGCCCCGCGCATCCTCATTTCCATATCTCCTGTGAACGCGCTGCTCAATCGGGCTGAGGAATGTGTCAGAAACAAAGATATATCCGGCTTTATCCGGCATCCTCAGAGAATACAGACATACCAAAAACTAGTTTCATATTAGAATATGCAATCAACTAACGAAAAATCGTTGGCTCGAGCGGGATTTGAAAATATTTATGTCCACATAAAATCCAAAATTATTTATTAATGTGTTGACAAAGATTACCGGAAAGGTCTCGTCTATTCCAGATAGACGGTATATTAAAAAGTCCGCTACAGTATACTGTATATCTAGCGGAGTCCTGGAGAAGTGGAGATGTTGTTATATAAAATTGTCGTTCTCAGTTAATGATGTGATTTAGTAGCGGACTGTATTTGTTGATGTTGATGGCAAAATTATAGAGGACATTTTATACCGAGCATATTTTAAATCAAGCCCGAAATTTTGGACTTGGTATGTTTTTAAATATTACTGCACAACTATATTCCACATATATAAAACTAAATGTTATTCGAAACAAAGTGCGTGTAGGTATGTTTACTGTAAACATCTGTTTCAATGCTCATGTAGTTACCCACCATTTGACCTTTGGTTGTCAAATGGAATTAATTGGTGTCCATTCGATCGAATCGATCGATTTGATCCATTCGACTGGCCTTGCTTGCATGCTTAATGCCCATGGAGTTACCCACCATTTGACTGTGGGTTGTCGAATGGAATTAATTGGTGTCCATTCGATCGAATCGATCCATTCGATCCATTCGACTGGCCTTGCTTGCATGCTTAATGCCCATGGGGTTAACCACCATTTGACTGTGGGTTGTCGAATGGAATTAATTGGTGTCCATTCGATCGAATCGATCGATTCGATCCATTTGACTGGCCTTGCTTGCATGCTTAATGCCCCTGGAGTTCCCACCATTTGACTGTGGGTTGTCGAATGGAATTAATTGGTGTCCATTCGATCGAATCGATCAATTCGATCCATTCGACTAGCCTTGCTTGCATGCTTAATGCCCCTGGAGTTACCCACCATTTGAATGTGGGTTGTCGAATGGAATTAATTGGTGTCCATTTGATCGAATCGATCGAATCGATCCATTCGACTGGCCTTCCTTGGATGCTTAATGCCCATGGAGTTACCCACCATTTGACTGTGGGTTGTCGAATGGAATTAATTGGTGTCCATTCGATCGAATCGATCGATTTGATCCATTCGACTGTCCTTGCTTGCATGCTTAATGCCCATGGAGTTACCCACCATTTGACTGTGGGTTGTCGAATGGAATTAATTGGTGTCCATTCGATCGAATCGATCGATTCGATCCATTCGACTGGCCTTGCTTGCATGCTTAATGCCCCTGGAGTTACCCACCATTTGAATGTGGGTTGTCGAATGGAATTAATTGGTGTCCATTCGATCGAATCGATCGATTCGATCCATTTGACTGGCCTTGCTTGCATGCTTAATGCCCCTGGAGTTAACCACCATTTGACTGTGGGTTGTCGAATGGAATTAATTGGTGTCCATTCGATCGAATCGATCGATTCGATCCATTTGACTGGCCTTGCTTGCATGCTTAATGCCCCTGGAGTTCCCACCATTTGACTGTGGGTTGTCGAATGGAATTAATTGGTGTCCAATCGATCGATTCCATCCATTCGACTGGCCTTGCTTGCATGCTTAATGCCCATGGGGTTAACCACCATTTGACTGTGGGTTGTCGAATGGAATTAATTGGTGTCCATTCGATCGAATCGATCGATTCGATCCATCTGACTGGCCTTGCTTGGATGCTTAATGCCCATGGAGTTACCCACCATAATTTGACTGTGGGTTGTCGAATGGAATTAATTGGTGTCCATTCGATCCATTTGACTATGTGTTGTTGAATAGAATTAATTGGTGTGCATTTTTATTCAAATGCAAAGAAAATAGTGTCAGGTT